TGAGGGAACCCCCCCCCCCCACCCCCAAATAACAGGCATGAGCAATCCCTGTGATTAATTATTCAAGGAAGGAAAGTATTAATATTCTGATCGTTATCTAAAAAATACTTTTAAAAGAGCTTTTCCAAACATGAATTACAGAAAATGTTAGAAAATACCCTCGTCATGGACAAACCCGTAAGTTGACAACTTCTATTTCTTTGCCCCAAGTGCTTGCTTTTAGTTAGTAGACTGCAGCCTATTTGCTGTACTTCATGATCAGAGTGATGAGGTGGATGACGCCTTGCAGCTCACAGCTGCAGTCTGTGCATCTTTGCGACTTGAAGTTTCGGTTTTTAATATCTGTTCATAAGATGCTCCATGAGAAATAAAGAGGGGACTTTCTTTATCTGAACTTTGTAAGAATCCAAAGTAGGTTTAATCATTGGTGAATTTAATTCGGCTTCTGTCAACTGTGTCATACAGATAGAGTTGTTTCCTGACGATTCCTGCCCTAAGAACATCACTCAGCAGGACCGGGAAGAAGTGCAGAATGGAACCACTCACCTCGACCTTCTCAAGTGCCATAATATGTCTCAGTCTCTGCTGAAAATATGCCAATACATTCAGAATTTGAAACCAGAAGACAACCCCACAGATGATGAAGAGTGCACCATCCCCAGCTTTGAGCAGACAAGGGACAAATACCTCTATGTCAGAGCCTGTATAAGCAGCTCAGCATAGCTACACTTTGATTTCTACCCTCCTTTGTATGTATATATATATATATATATATATATCTTATTTTTGTATTTATTTTTCACATGCAGGATTTTAATTAATTTTAAAACTACAAGAGCATCATACACTAGTGATCTGTTTTAAATCACCATCCATCCATCCATCCATCCATCCATCCATCCATCCATCCATCATCAACCGCTTATCTGGGATCGGGTCGCGGGGGCAACAGTCTGAGCAGGGACACTGTTGGTGCCGAAATTACGTTATTCAGTCACCACTATTGTCATCTAACTGCCGCAGATAGAATGACCTGAAAAGAACCACACCTGAGAACGTTGTACTTTTTACTCACTGCGAGGGGGAGCAGAGAGAACCAACAGCTTCGCAGAGCTGGCTCACCTAAGTCCCAAAGTGTATGAGGACTGCAGCTCCTTTTATTAACTCTTGTGTGGTGTTCGGGTCTGTGGGACCCGTTTTCACTTTTTAATAAAAGAAAAATGATATAATTATTTAATTTTTCAAACTGAGACTCACTGGCTTTGGCTCATTTTCTGTGAAGAACATATATCAGAATACATATTTAATGACCACACACCATAC